AAGCTCACATGACTCCACTGCTTGTGTCCTAACAAACAAAAAAGCATGCTCATTTTAGCTGTCATTTGTAACAGCTGGGCAACATAATTGTTTCAGGTGAATGAATTATAATGAAGTGTGTCTGACACACCTATTTCAAAAGCATGGTTGGTGCCTAGGTCCCTAGCATCGTGTGCGCTACTGTACACGTACTGATAAACTGCTGCTGTTGCTTGTCTGTACTCACAATTCTCCTCTCGCGTTACAGACCTATTCTGCGTGTTATTTAACGCTTTAGATGACAGCACCAACTCTTGGAACAGAGTTAGTGTTGGATTACTTAAGATACTATGGTCCTGCTCTTGTAGCATGCTTGAGGAGGTCAGTTTAAGCTGACAGCACATCCTTTATTCATATGCGTGGAAGCTGAAGTCTGCCTGATACTCATTTCGGAACTCGGCTTTGAAGGAAGGCCAGGGTAGTGCTAGGGCTTTACAGCTTTGCTGAGATATAGGACATCCGATCGGTAGATCTCTGGGTCGGTTGTGCATCACCATGTATTAGTTATGCAGAATGACTGATGATTTTTATTTATTTATGTTTAGCCACCTCCAAAACTGCCCAATGGTGTGTTTGGTTCTGAATTTCAAGATTTCGTTAATAAATGGTGAGTATTTTCTCTATGGCTAAGTTGCAAAGGGACGCGTTTGGGATCAGCCCTGCTGTCTTACTGTCTTGATAACTTGGCAGTTGGGAGTCCCTACTTGTCGGTCATGGCAAATATGAAGTAATTTCAGCATAATCTTCATTCTCCAACTGTTAATGTCCCTAAAGCTCATTTTATAGGCACCAGCTTGACAGCATATGCATCCCAAGAGAACCCCAAAGCTGAGAGATGTTCCCCTCTTTAAGATACGGTCTCTGCTTCTGTGTGCAACTTAGACTAGTCTGTTTCAGCACTGAAGACACCATAGTACTTATGGAGACTGATCATACAACACACTTCCAAAGGAGAACCCTTACTTTTAAGGGCAACCTTCATGGCATTCTGCAGTGACTGTTCCACATGATGCAGACACCTTGCAGGCTCCAGATGCTTTTTTATTTCCGAGTGTTTCACTGAACTGACATCTGTATCACACCAGTCATTCTCCCATCTATTTACTTCTCCAGTTGCACTTCAGTGATACGTGCAGTGAACCAGTATATTCAGTGCTAAGGGGAGGCAGTTCACTACAGTTGGAAAAGTTACTTTATTTGTTAAAAGCTACATATTATTTACTGTTTCCAAAAGGAAGAACAGTAATGCAATAGCTGTACTTGATACTGAGCTTGAAAAGACTTGGGTAACCAAGAAACTTGAGGGATAAAGCGGCTCATATTGTTGAGTGTTTGTTTAAATGGGAATTTGATCTCTCCAGCTGGGTGTTAGACATTCACTCCTGCCCCCACTAAACATTATTGGACAACTCAGGGCTTCTTACCTACAACTGTACCTGTGAAACCTACAGAAGGGATTTGCTTGGAGACCCAGATCTGTGTTTGAGAGGTGCTACATCACCTCATGCTTTTATCTAGAGCGTTGTCGTCTTGGGACCAAAGCAATATACCAACATGATATAACTTGATCTTTATTTTAAAAGATAATAGTGTGTAACTTGTGTAACACTTTCTGTTTTCCTAGTTTAATTAAAAATCCTGCTGAGAGAGCTGATTTGAAGCAGCTGATGGTAAGTTAAAGTCCTTAACTTTAAGTAAGAGCACTCTTCCATGCAGGTTGGGTTCCTCAGCTGACCTGAGATCAAGGTCGGAGCATATGGCCTGGAGTGTAGTCTGTGGCCTCTGACACAAGCAGCTCAAACAGTTTTTTGGGGGAGTTGCTTTTCTGATCCAGAGATCAAGGGGCCTCAGGCTTTCACACAGTTGTAGAACAGGGGCTCTTAAGGAGACCGAAATGGGCGGGTTTTGGAGTTTGTAATTTGATAATTACAATGAGTATATGACCTAATGCTATTAAATTAATTAGCAAAAGAATTATCCCTTGGGTTTATTAGACAATAATGAAGTACATAGTTTATTACTTTTAAGAGGAAGAAAGAACAAAATTCCTCAGACCTTATGGACTAGTTAAATACACTTTTCTCTTTTGTGAAACATAAAATTTGCCCCTCTCTTTATCAGCTTTGCCTTGCAAAATCTGTAGAACTACAAGACAGAAACAAATCTTGCATATTTTTTGGAATGGAATGACCTTATCGGTTTCAGTGGACCTTTTCATGGCCCTAAGTGTGATGGTAGGACTTAAGTTCTACTGCAGAAAACCAAGTTTTCCCCGCCCTGATCCTGCTGTGCAGTAAGTGTGCAAAATGCAATCAGACTCTTTCTATTACAAAAAGCCTTTCTGTGCACAGGCAGATATTTTCCAGAGCATTATCTCAAGAGGCTGAGTCACATCCTTATCGCATACTGTGGTGCAGGTATTCTGCAATAGGCACCGTGTAGGCAATATTCCTCTGGAATACTTTGCAATGTGTACGTTTCATATGCTGGTTTCTGCAGGATTACTGAAATAAAGCTCTCCTGGTCACTTCATGTGGGTTGCCAAATATTATAGCTGGCCTGAATACTGAAAGTAAACTTTTATTTTACTTATGGTGTTATACTTACTGTATTTCATGTTATTCCGAATTATTATTTAACAGATTGAGTGCTTGAATAATAGTATTCTTCTCTGCTCAGATTCATGCTTTCATTAAGAGATCTGAAGCGGAGGAGGTGGATTTTGCGGGGTGGCTTTGTTCAACCATAGGCCTTAACCAACCGAGTACACCCACGCATGCTGCTGGAGTCTGAGTATGGAAGAGCAGATCCTGTACTGTACATCTGTTAACAACAATGCTATTTTGGTCCTATTTCCTCAGCTTGTACCTGTTCAAACATGTATTTCACCTCTTAAGGAAGAATGTCTTTATAGCATGTGCCAAATGGTTTTAAATTTTGTCATAAACTAATTGGTATTGTATTGGATTACATTTGTTTACTGACCAAAACGTTAAGGTGTTCTAAGTTACAGTGCTTGCTGATTTTAAGTGATTATGGATATTCTTTCTTAATGAAAATATCACTGGGGGTGTTTGCCCCCAGCCTGTTTGAACTTTATCAGGATTCTTTGTAAATCGTTGGTACTTCAATCACGCTAACCTAATCTCCCACGCGAAAAGGGTTAGGGATGCTCCAAAACTGTATCTGTCGAGCATGCTTTTGCTGCTGCCAAACTGTATCTGAAAGTTAGGCCTAATGGTTCCAATTTTGCTGTTGTTTAGAGATCTCTTTTTTCCAGGTAAAGAAGGCAAGAGCTCTGCATTTCTTGGAATGTACAGGGCAATATTCTAATTGTAGACTTGTTCATATTTCTATATTTATTTTTAAAACATATCATCATACTTGGATTTAGTGATGTATGTCTTTCTAATTGATTTTTAAAAGTTAGTTCTTGGAAGTGTCCTACAGAATCAAGACAAAGATCCAGGCAATTTGCTTTCTTTTAACCTAAAAAATCATGACAACTGTGTTAGTGTCTCAAGTGTATGAAGATCCTTTATTGTTTTATTCTCTCAGATGTTTAGCAATGGATTCTCTTAATAAATATGTTATCAAGTAACTTCTTGAAGTTTTGTTTAAAACCTCAAACTTAACCAAAGCCTTAACCCCAAGCCATTGCTGCCTTACACACCCTTTTTCTATGTATTTTTTTTCCCCAACCGTGCAATGTCCTTGGTTCCCCAACCATGCAACATCCTTGGTTCCGAGAGGTACAAGACTGCATATGTAAAATGACAATGAGTGAAGCAGGGCTCCAGTCAGGTGCCACTGCAGGATGTTAATATCCTGTTTACCAGGTTTCTGCGGAATGTCTGAGGGAAGTCTGAGGGCAGAAGCTTTGGCTGTGCAGCACTTGCACTTGCACAGCACTCGATGCTCTGTTCAGTGCTGTAACCTGCTGGGCGGGGTGTGGCAGGCGTTTCCCTAGGGCAAACCAGCATTGTGGCACAAAACACAGGAATGTCGCCATCCACCCAGCGGAGGGAAGACCTGCTTGCCTGCGTCTGTCATTAACCAAGAGTGATTGTACTGTGCTGATTTCTTCAGCTTATTTTTCTTCAGAAGTTCAGCTTCTGTCAGTCAGTTACTTGGCAAGCAAATGCTGCTGCTGTGCAACAGAACAGGGAGAGGTGGGAACAGCTACGTGTCCTCAGCACAAAGCCTCCCTCTTTTCAACAGCCATGAGGAGCAGCGCTATAAAAAGTTTAGCTCCTTGAAAGGATGTTTTGGACACAGAAATGCCTGAAGTTCCTTCCCAAAGGGAATCCAAGTCACTCTAGGTGATACTGCTGGCCAAGTGGAAGTTCACAAGCACCAGAGAGGGACGGAACAGCCCTCACCCCATCAGCACTGGGAAATGACTCGGTGACAGGTCCAAGGCTTCCCTTCAACTTGGCTTGGCTTGAATGTGACTGTGGGTAGTAGCAACAAGGCTGTGTAGTGTTTGGTTTAAAATCTGTCCTGTGCTTTATATATAGAATTATATACACACACATAGAAAAACAACAGTACTTTTTACTACTTGGTAAAAGAAATATACAGTCTGTGAACAGCAAGTGTTTAGAGATTTAAATCCCATTTTACTTGCTCCACAGCCAGCAATAATTTGAACATTGCAAGCAGAGTTGTATGTAGTAGGACACCAGGTGACGTGCTTCATTGCAACATGCAACAGAACTGCTCTATTTTAATCCAAAAGCAAGCAAGGGACTCGCAAAAAGAGGCAGGAAGAAAGGATATAAGTATATCCACAACTACGCTGAAACATGCTGGGAACAAATAACATTTTTCAACAGTTAAAATTATCCTTTTGAGATGAAATCCAGGAGCAACTGCTCCAGAATGTCATTTGCCCAGGAGCAAAGCAGAGGAGAGGCTGGCTACTGCGCTCCTCAAGTGTGCTCTCAAAGAATTATTTTAACACTCCAAGCAGTAACATTTTCAGCTCATGCTTTTTGGTTTTTTTTTTTTTACCTGTGAGTCTTGGGAAAGCTTTGCCAAATCTTCTGCATGCATGTTCTACGCTCCTTCATTAAGACACCCAGGCTTCTCAAAAAAAGTTAATCTTTAGTACAGGATGAAGCTACATTTGCATTCCAGCATTCAGTTTCTATTGCTCCAAACCAAGTCGGAGCCAAATAAGCAGTCACCTCAATCAGTGACAGGAACTCACTGGTGGTTGAATCATGGACCACACCCAGGACATGGGACACTTTTCCAAGTCCCTTTCCTGCTCTTAAAAGCAAACTTCAGAACTATTTATTTTATTTTCTCTGAGTGATGCCAGAGACAGCACCTTTAGATACTAGTTGTGCAATGAACAACCCTAGTAAGACAGTTGTTGCAGTGGCTGAGTTAACTATTACTTTTATGGTCTGTTTTTAATCAGCTTAACAAGAGTTTGGGTTGCTTTAAAATAAGTCTTGAAGAATCAGTAAAATAACCAGCTGCACCACATGAGGAGGAAGAACATATCGTCTATCGGGAAGAGCAGCGCTAGCTTGTTACCGTACCGTTAAAGAACTTGTGGAGGGGACTTCACATCACTTTCCATTTTATAACTTAAGTTCTTAAACTCCTCATACTCCTCCGTGAAGCTCACTTGAAAACAGAAGGTGGACTTGCATTGCCTTACGAATTTACTTCCAGGGAAAAAGAACGCTAATTTAAAAAATTTAGTCCCTTATTACAAGTAACACCCACCAATTCTTACTGTACAATTTGTGGACCAATAAAAGGCTAATTGGCTGCCGCTCTGAAAGAGCAAGAAGTAGAAAATACTTTGCTGTTACAGGCAGACTGACAGTACTTAAGAAGAGCACCAGTAGGTACAGACAGGCCGTGCCGTTACCGTGTTCAGAATGAGGCTGACGGTGCGGTACCTGCTTCTCCCAGCACAAGAACATCTCCATCTCTGTTCCATTTACAGGGACTGTAAATCCCATTTTCCATGTAACAACACCGCAGCTGAAAGCCTGGAGACAATCCTGGACACGCCTTTTCTCACTGCGTATCTCAGAATTCCCAGTTTAAGCAAATGAGGTTATAATATAATCATTGGTGCGGCAACCAGCCTCCATGGCCTGGTTTTATTTTTCAGCATCAGGAAATAAGAACAGACGAATTATTGCTTTTAGTGTACACATTAAATTAGTCTGACTTGATTAATGACTTCTCCCACGTGTAAAGATGTAGTAAGCTACATTAGGTTTTAAATGTGGAACAGATTATGCTACATATTTGTGCAGCAAATTTTCATTCTGTTAACATCTAAGTCAAGACGTGCCAAGCTTGTGACACTGGTGTGTTCAAGTGTAACTTCCCTAGACTCCGAGAGTCTTGCACGTCCTATTAGTTCATACCCACATACAGGACAAAATGAAAATCAGTTGGTGAATTTTATATGAATGAAAAAGAAATTCCTGAGTCTGTATTAAAAACCATCTCTGATTTCTTTTCTCAAGAATCTGATTCCTCGTCCTCTTCTTCTTCCTCCTCTTCATGACCTTGAAGACCTAGGTGTAATTCGGTTTGATTGATAGCAGCCTCGTTGTCCATCTGCCCAAGAATCTGTCACAATAAAAGAGTTTTTTTGTATCTTGGTAATTATCAAGACCAGCAGTGATACCGAATACTTCTCAAATCACTATTAAAACTCTGCAGGCACAGCATCTTTTAGAAATCTGGTACTAAAACCGGTGACTGCATGAGCCCATCACAGTGACAAGCACCAGTCATTCCATAAAGAGCTTCAACCAGCGCAGGCTGCGCATCTATTGAGTAAAAGGTTCAGAGGATCCCTGTACCCCCATCCCCTACCATCAGGTGGCTGAGCTAGCACGTCGCAGTTCAGAGTATTGGACACGATGCTTAATAAACAGCAAGCTGAAGCTACACCAGTAGCAAGCAGATATTTCCCTGACTCCCTGGAAACAACACCCTGCTTTCAGGGATGGGCAAAGGCGAAACCCTGGAAACATAAACCAGCAACAAAACAGATAAACTCAACAGCTGAGCCTTTCAGTTAATGAGCGGCATCAACATAGAATCATAGAATCACTTTGGTTGGAGAAGACCTTTGAGATTGAGTCCAACCTTTAAGCTACCCCTGCCATCCCACCACTAAACCCTGTCCCTCAGCACCTCATCCATCCTTCTTTTAAATCCCTCCAGGGATGAGGACTCGACCACCTCCCTGGGCAGCCCCTTCCAGAGCCTGACAGCCCTTTCGGTCAAGAAGTTTTTCCTAATGTCTAACATCAAGAACTCCAGACGGAAACCACCCCCAGGAACACCTCCAGCCCCTCAAATCTATCCAGCCCTGTCACAGGGCAGAGCCAGCCCCTCGCCTTCCACCGGGCACCGGCTCCCCTTACTTCCTGAGCCTCCTCCGCAGCGGTGGCGAGGATGCCGTGACGTTCTCCTCCCTGGAGCTGATCATGGACTGCAGTGCCAGCTCTTCCACCTGCAAACGAGGGAGCACAGAAGCCTTTGCAGTCATTATTTCTTGGGCTCTTATTTCAATAGTTAAAAATAGAATCGAAATATTTTTTACCCCCAGGAACACCTCCAGCCCCTCAAATCTACCCAGCCCTGTCACAGGGCAGAGCCAGCCCCTCGCCTTCCACCGGGCACCGGCTCCCCTTACTTCCTGAGCCTCCTCCGCAGCGGCTGACGAGGAGGCCGTGACGTTCTCCTCCCTGGAGCTGATCATGGACTGCAGCGCCAGCTCTTCCACCTGCAAACGAGGGAGCACAGAAGCCTTTGCAGTCATTATTTCTTGGGCTCTTATTTCAATAGTTAAAAATAGAATCGAAATATTTTTTAAATAATAACAGCAGAGCTTTTTAAATCGCGTTTCACCACCCTTCAGTACTCAGCAGGGCACGCGGGA